ACACGTGCTGACAACCAGCTCCGGCCTTGGCATGGATGAACCCCAGGGATTTGGGAATAAAGCTGGGCTGTGCTACAGCAGGGCAGTGGCAGTGACAGCCCCCAGGGCCAGCCTGTGGGGCTGGGGTGACACCTCACTGCTGGCCATGGCACACCAGCCCCAGGAGCACAGGCCCTGGAGCACAGCCCCTGGAACTGCAGCCCCTGGAACTGCACCAGCCCCTGGAACTGCAGCCCCTGGAACTGCAGCCCCTGGAACTGCAGCCCCTGGAACTGCAGCCCCTGGAACAGCACCAGCCCCTGGAAGAACAGCTCTTGGAACTGCAGCCCTTGCACTCTCACCAGCCTTTCCCAACGGAGGCAGCTCCCATTGTGGGAAAGGTCGTGCCTGGTGTGAATCCAGGGTGAGTCTCCAGAGAGGAGGTGTGGGGAGCAGATTGGGAATGTCCCGTGGGCACCGTGACCCACGGTGAAATCCAGGCTCAGCTTGCACAAACCCCTCTGATGTGGGATAACAGCTCCCATTCCTGGGGCGTTGCTCTCCCGGTTATTTTGGGAAGGAAAGGCCATCAGGCATTGCTAAATGCCAGTTTGGTCAGGAGACAGCAGCTGGTTTTCCAGAGGCTCTGTCTCCTCCAAAGCCGAGAGCTGTCTGAGTTTCCAGCACTGGGGAACAGCAGGACAGAGGTCCGGGGGCAGTGGGAGCTCTCCACCATGTGCAGTGCTCAGACACCCCTGGGACACTCCTGGGGATCCCAGGGAGAGTTCAGGGATGGAAAAGGGCACTGTAAATGCAGCTGAAGGCAGGTGACAGACTGATGTTAAGACATTTATTTTAACATGCTAATTAAAATTACTTGTGTAAAAATGAGGGGAGTTTGGTCCCTGGTGTTTCTGATAGGACTGGAGAAGATCACGGAATCACAGCACGAGATCAGCCAGCAGCACTGAGTGATTTAATTCCAGAGTTACACTCCAGACTGGCACAAGTTGGGGATGTCTGATGTCCAGGTGGGATCTGGCAAGATCAAGTTTCCCAAGTGGAAAACTGGAATTCAAACGACCTCCTGGCCATGGGCATCTGTTCAGGGTGAGCCTGGTGGCTGTGGGGCCCAGCACAGAGCAGAGGGGACACGAGGGGACACGAGGGGACACGGACTCTCCCCGAGGGGCACCTTCCACCCAGCACCGGGCAGTGCCACTGGGAAACTCCTGTCGCTCATTGCCTGCATTTCCCAGGCACTGCAGAGGTTTCTGAGCCCACCTGCACCGCTCTGAGCTGTGCCACTGCCCAGCAGGCCCTGGGGACACGAGGGACACTCCAGGCAGGGCAGTGTGACACTGTGGGTGCACTGGGGACACCGGGGACAGTGGGGACACCAGGGACATGGGGACACACGGACACAGGGACACACAAACACAGGGACACACAAACACAGGGACACACAGACACAGACACACAGGGACACACAGACACAGGGACACACGGACACAGGGACACAGGGACACAGGGACACAGGGACACAAGGACACAGGGACACAGGGACACAGGGACACATGGACACAGGGACACAGGGACACAGGGACACAGGGACACAGGGACACACAGACACAGGGACACACGGACACAGGGACACAGGGACACAGGGACACAGGGACAGGCAGCTTGGCCGTCTCAGTGTAAACATCCCCGGAGGTGGAGCTGGGCAGCCGGGGCTGGTTCTGCTCGGAGCCACCGAGCCCTGCTGGATTTTCCTCAGCCACAGGAGGCCGAGCCCTGCCCTTGGGACAGCCACAGCAGATCTGATATTTCAAAGATCCACAGAATCACAGAGTTATTTAGGTTGGAACAGACCTCCAGGATCCCTGAGCCCAAGCTTTGGCTGATCCTTGGGTTTGAATGCTTAAAGTTGTGGCATTACAGGCTGCAGGTCCCTCTCAGTCCTGGGGCACAGAGCAGAGCCCCAGTGCTCTGGGGAGGGGGTGGAGGGGGGCTGGGATCCAGGTTTGGAGCATTCCCATCCCGGGTGATGCCCTGGGGTGGTGGGGCTCTGTGCCAGGGCATTTCCAGCCCCAAGCCCTGCAGGTGCAGCCCTGGCTCAGTGAAGCCTCTCTGGGCACTGCACGGGGCTCAGCCCTGGCCCTGTGGCAGCTCCCTCGGTGTGGGGCTGGGCACAGCTGGGCACTGCCAGGCTCTGACCTCCCCCCGAGGCCAGGATGGGACAAAGCCGTGCCCAAATGTGGGCAGAGGGTTTTTCCAGGCCTGCTTTTGTCTCTGTTCACGTTCAGAGCCAGGGAACTACAAACAATCAGGCAAAATGCACCCGACTCCAACCTGTCACATAAACCACGAGCTGCTGGGAATGACATCCTCCCCTGAAAAGCCACTCCAAGTGGGGATGAACACTTCCCTTCGTCTGCCAGCCCAGAGCTGTTATAAATGCTGGATTTATTTGTCCCGATGGATGCATGGAAGAACTGCGGCTCCTCGGAGCAAACAGCCTGTGTGGGGAGGGGGGGCAAGGTCTGTCCAACCACTCTGTTTACAGAAAGTCAAAATAACTGGGGCTTCTAGCCCTGGCCACGATGGGTTCTTCAAACAAAGCAGCCCCAAACATAAATACATTGTCTTTCACAAAATGCATTTGGGCATATTTGACATATTTCATATTCAGAGCAGCTCTTTCATGTTGTGCCCTGGAGCGCAGGGGGGGCTCAGCTCCTGCACCCCCGTCACTGCTGGGGCTGCTCTGTCTTCCTGACAAGCCTGGATTAATTCTCCTTTTGACTTCATCCCTGAAAAATCCCAACTGAGGGAAGGCAGAGCTGGAGGGAGCCGGGGAGTGCCCGGGGCTGGGCCCAGCCCGCAGTGCTGCCGAGGGGTGCTCGGGCATTCCTGCTGCTCCCTGTTCCCACCGGGAATGCTGGGGAGAGGCAGGAGCACAACAGGGAGAGCTCCTGGAGCCTCCCCAGGGCTGGGCTCGTTCCCCTCAGCGTGCTGGGACAGCCCCAGCAGCAGCTGGATGGGAACTCCTCCTGTGCCTCTCTCCTGGGGTGACTTCACCTTTCAGGCCATTAAGAGACAAAGAGAAAACTTCTGTTTCCAGGGAAGCTCACAGAGACAAATGAAGAGAACTTTTGCCTTTGAATAACCCATCCTTAAAAATGCCATCCTTAGACTCATGGCCCATAACACACCTCAGAGTGATGTGAAATGGGAGGAGACGCCACATGACAGATTTTTCCAGGCTGGCATCAGAGAAATGGAAAGCTATACCAGAAATAGTTTTCTTGTGAGAAACTCTATAGATTAGCAGAAGAAGACTTCTGTTTCTCTACAAAGACTGATGGAAAGACCATAGCAAGAACTGGGACTGTTGTAAACACCAAAGTGTTTTTGTCTCTATGTTGTCATGTGAACAAGGGAATGGTTGGGTAGTGGGGGAAAAAAGAGTTTTCTGAAGGTTTTATTCTGGTTTTCTTATTCTTGTAGTTTTGTTAATAAACTTTCTTTATTCCTTTTAAGTTTTAAGCCTGTTTTGCTCTTGTTCTAATCCATATCTCACAGCAAGAAATAAATAAGTTTTCTAGTGATTTTTTTTAGTTGCTGCTTTAAAACCAAAACATTTATTTGGTTTGTTGGCCAGGAAACGAAATTGGCAAATCTAAACCACTACATCCTCCCAGGAGCTGCAGACACACGGACACAAAGCGAGGGGCGCTGGCTGAGGACAGGCAGCAGGGGACAGGCAGGGGACAGGCAGGGGACAGGCAGGGGACAGCCAGCTGGGCTCGCTGGGGATGGCATCAGGGCTGGGAAGGGCAGAGCTGCCCACAGGGAGCAGGGAAAGTCCTTGGGATGCAGGGCTGGGATAGAGCTTGGAATTGCTGCCTGGGAGGGTGTGAGGCCCTGGGATAGAATTCCCAGAGCAGCTGGGGCTGTCCCTGGATCCCTGGCAGTGCCCAAGGCCAGGCTGGATGGGTTTGGAGCAGCCTGGGACAGTGGGAGCTGTCCCTGCCATGGCACGGGTGGGATGAGATGGGATTTAAGGTCCCTCCCAACCCAAGCCAGTCTGGGATTCTGTGGGATCCCTCCAAGGCTCCTGTAACCCTGGGCACAGAGTGATGTGGCTTGAAGGAGCTGTTTGTCCTCACAGCACAATTTTGGGGAGCTTTCTGCTGTCTCTGGGCAACCAAACCTCTCAGCTCAGGCTCTTCCTGCTGCTGCTGAAGGTCACAGAGATATTTCTTTTGTGCTCCCAGCTCTGTTTTTCTACCTTCACATCTCTCCTGTGTTCCGCTCCTTATCAAACCCTGGTTCTGATTTGCCTTTTGTTGTTTTTTTTTAAACTGAGATCAAACTGATAAAGGGAAACTCAAACCCAGCTGTTCAGTGGGGGCTGGGGCTGGCTCCGAGGTGTTTCTGCCATTGTCTGGGAAATGTAATTCGGGATTTTGTGGAGTCCCCACCCCTGGAGGTGCCCAAGGCAGACCTGGACGTGGCACTCGGGGCTCTGGGCTGGGGACAAGCTGGGGATCAGGCACAGCTTGGACTCGGTGCTCTGGGAGGGCTTTTCCAACCCCAGGGATTCTGGGATTTGCCTGCCTGGAACTCCTGTGTCAGTTCAGACCCAGCAGCCACCAGGGATTTCCCAGTTGGGCTGGGCTGGGTTGGGGTTCCCCACCCCAGTGCTGCTCCCCTGTGTCAATCCTCCTGAGGAGCTCAAAAACCCAGTAAAATAATGGGAATAATGGGATAAAACCACGGCAAGAGCCTTGGTGGGAGGGGCTGCAGACAGTTCACCTGTGCTGGGACACCCCAGAGCCTGGGCTGGGTTGGGGTGCAGGTGCAGGTGCAGGTGCTGCAGGTGCAGGTGCAGGTGCTGGGTTCCCCTGGGCTGGAATTCCCAGCAGAGCAGCTCCCACAGGCAATCCCTGGATCACTGGGCAGATAAAATCTGCTCTGGCCCCACCTCCAGCAGCTCCTGCCAAAACCCAGCCAAGGCCAGGGTCACTCTGGTTTTTTATTCTCGCTGGTACAACACACACAGGTGGGACACACACCAGTGGTTTGCAGGCAAAGCGTGATCTCCAGGTGCATTTTCTGTGCCCTGCGGCTCCCAGAACACCTCAGGCAGAGGGACAGCACACAAAACCAGGCTGAAAAGTACCACGACACAGACACAGCTCCCCGACCCACAGAGATGGGAATGAAAGCTCCCAGGTGCACTTGGATCAGGTTTAGAAGTGCAGCCCCTCACTGAGCCAGGGCTGGAGGGCACAGCTCCCACCCCTCTCCTGTAAACAAACGGGAAGCTCCCATCCCTTCCCATCTGGGGAAAGCTCCCATCCCTTCCCACCTGGATGAAGCAGCTCCTTCATTTTACCCCCCAGAGGGACAGAAGTGCCCATCCCAGCACTGACTATTGGTGACAAAAGCAGTTTCATGGGAGTGCAGTGAACCCACCCTGACATCAGGACTCATCTCAATCTGCTGGAGGGCCCTTCCCAGTGTCCCATCCCCAGATTTCCACGCTCAGGAGGCACAGCACCCTGCTTTTCCCATCAAGGGGGGATAACAGGCGTGGGTTCCCTCTCCCTTCCCTCCATCCCAGCCATGACTCCAGACAATCTGGGAGCCAGGAATGTGCTGGCCAGGGCTGATCCAGGCAGCTGAGGTCATCCCGACATATTTCACAAGTGAACGGCTCTGCTGAGCTCTTTCCCAAAGGAAAAGTACACAGAGGGAACAGAAGGGATCCTCTGCACACAAGAGGCTTTTTCCAGCCCCAAATAATCCCAACAAAGCAGAGTCTGACTCCTGCAAGGCACTTTTTAAAGCATTTTTCCCCTGAAGCACTGATGAACCTGTAGTTGTTACACCAGGAGTGGCTCAGCACAGAGCAGGGTCCAGCAACTCAAACTGAAAAAGGCATTTAATCCATTAAATTTAGGCTGGGTCTTCAATTAAAGCTAAACCTTGGCTTTTAGGCTGGACTCAGACATCACCTGCATAAAATCAGATTTATGTGGACAAGAATCAGACAATGCAGGACAAAAGTGAAGGCACAGATTCTTTGCTGAGGAATTACTTTTATAAGCAAATTAAAAAAAGTAAAGGTTTTGTAAGTAAAGAAATTCCTCACAGATGCAGGACTTCATTTGCCTGTAAGACCCCTGAATTCCACAGCACCTGGCACATGGAATATCAGCTGTATTTTGTTGTATTTGTACTTGATTTCACCCCAAAGGCCACAAAACAGGAGACATGAGAGGCTGTCAGCCCCAAAAGGGTAAAGAAAATGCCTTAAGACACAGCTTTTTAAAAAACAAGCCTCAGATGTGGCACCAATGGATTGCAACTGAGTTTGTAACTAAACCATGGAAGTTTCTTTGGGAAAAGACCTGACAAATTCACACACTTCCACCCACTGCTTCCAGTCTGCTGCAGTTTAAAACCTCCCAGAGCTGCCACATTTGTGTTTCTGGAGGAAGAGCTGAACTCTTTGGGATGCTGCTCTGAGCTCTCTGCAGGCCCCAAGTGCCAGCCCCGTTCCTCCCACAGCATTTGCTGCTCATGGACACGGCACTTCCCAGGAAAGCAGCTCCTGTGGGAGCAGTGGGTCTGACTCTCTTCCTCTCCATCTGCCCCCCTCAAGCAGCAATTCCAGCCTCCCTGCACATTCCACAGGATGCCAGGGAAAAATCAGGGATTTCTCCCCTTGCCCCGGTGCTGCACCCTCCTCAAGCTCGCTTCAGCTGCCACACGGATCAGCGTTTATCAGGAGGCAGGAGACTCCTGCTGCCTCAATCCTTGGAAGAGAGGGATGTTCCATCACTGCCACAGCCCCTGCTCAGTTTTAAGACACTGAAATCCAACCAAATTTAACTTTTTTTCCTTATTCCTGTGTTTTTTCTCCCTTTCTCTTTCTGCACCTCCAGCAAAAAGGAGGAAGGACTCTCTGAGGGAGGTAATTTTAGTATTAAATACTCTCAGCATTATTTAAGGGAGTATCTCCCTTCAGTAATTCCATCTGGAGAATCTGCTGGCTGTCAGGAAAACAATTTCTTCCACCTTAAAGCACGAGAAGCTCCCTCAGGCTCTACTTTAGGCTCACAGGACCTTCCTCTGTGCATCTCAGCCACGAGTGGCAGTGACCATTCTGCAGTGACCATGGATGAGGACATGTCCTCCTCTCGCTATGCAGTGGAATGGAGGACATGGAACGTCCTTCTCCTGCTGTGCAGTGACCATGGATGAGGACGTGTCCTCCTGTTCTGCAGTGACCATGGAACGTCCTCACCCTGTTGTGCAGTTACCATGGAATGTCCTTCTCCTGCTGTCCAGTGACCATGGAATGTCCTCACCCTGTTCTGCAGTGACTGTGGAACATCCTCCTCTCGTTGTGCAGTTACCATGGAATGTCCTTCTCCTGCTGTGCAGTGACCATGGATGAGGACGTGTCCTCCTCCCATTCTGCAGTGACCATGGATGAGGACGTGTCCTCCTCTCGCTGTGCAGCTCAGCCATGGCTGCAGAGGGTCGTGTCCTGCTGTATCCCAGCACTTGTGGCACCTGCAGGAAGAATTTGGCGCTCTGGCTCCAGCAGTGACACCGTGAGGGGTCAGCAGGCTCCCAGGAGGGTTTCCCCGCAGGGAACACCCTCAGGCCGCGGTCCGGCGGATCTCCTCGGGCAGGGAGACAGATCTGTCCCTGTCCCTGTCCCTGTCCCTGTCCCTGTCCCTGTCCCTGTCCCGGCACTCGGCGCTGGAGCACTTGGACACGGTGCTGGCTGCCTGGCAGAGCTTGCGGAGCAGGATCTTGCGCAGCAGCAGGTACACCCAGGGGTCCAGGATCTGGTTGAGGGAGGCCAGGCGCACGGCGGTCAGCGACAGGTCGCACTCCTGGCGCGGCTCCCAGCGCCGGGGCTCCCCGGAGCCGGCCCGGCAGGGCCCGGCCGTGTGCTCTGAGATCATCCTCAGCATGGTGATCTGGGCAGGGAGGGAAAGGGACACAGGGTAAGGGGCTGAGTGTCACCACAGCGGTGCCACCGCCGTCCAGAGAGGCCGCGGCTGCCCCCGCATCCCTGCAAGTGCCCCAGACAGGGCTTGGAGCAGCCTGGGATCCTGAACACCTCATTTTCCCAAACAGATCCTTGTTTTGCTCACAAACCTTTCCTGGGCATGACCTGGAGGCCCGGCTGTGTGCCCGTGCTGCCCGGGATCCCTGCGGAACCGGGGCTGTCCGTGTGCTCCCAGTGCCACAGAGATGGACACGCACCCAGCACTGCCCTGGGGCATGGGCCAGTGCCTCCCAGTGCTCCCAGTGCTCCCAGCGCTCCCAGTGCTCCCAGTGCTCCCAGTGTTCCCAGTGCCCCCAGTGCTCCCAGTGCTCCCAGTGCCCCCAGTGCTCCCAGTGCTCCCAGTGCTCCCAGTGCCTCCCAGTGCTCCCAGCCCCTGGGTAAACTGGCAGCCAGTCCCCAGAGCGCTGGGAACAGCCCGAGGGAGCGGATCCGCAGGGAATCGCTGCCAGTCCCGTGGCTCCAGCCTTTGGGAAGGGCCAGGCCAGGCTGCGATCCCACAGGAAACCTCCTCAGAGCTGTGTCACCACAGAGGTCACAGCTGGGCTGCTGCTGTCCCCACACTGCCCGGGAGCACAGGCTCCAGGGAGGATTCTTCCCTTCCAAGGGATATTCTGGGTGCCAGATCAATAACCATGTGCTGACCTTGGAAAGCCTGGGCTCAGTCTGGAGGGCAGGGCAGCGTGGACAGCACAGAATTATTTTTGTTCCTTTAAACAGAAGCAGCTGAGGATTCTACCCACGACATTTCATTGACATCAGTGGCCACGGATAGAGCCTTGTGAAAACACGGACACAGAGCCAGAGCACAGCAGGAGCCAGTGGGGCAGCAGCCCCACACTGCCAGAACCACTGCCTGGCTCTTCACACACCGCCCCAGTCCTGGCTCTGCCAGACTCTGCCATCCCTTTTTCACATGGAGCTCCAAAACCACCAGGCTAATAGAATACATTTCCCAAGCACACAACTGCTGCTCGTTCCTGGCTTTATTATGTAATATCCCTTTATTGGAGTAGCTGTTGGGCCAACAGCTGCTCTACTGGAAATTTTGTTTGTTTGATATCATTAGAGGTTGTTTATCACGGCCTCTATTGGTCTTCTAAATGGATTAAAAGGCTGCACAAGGCAGAGGAACAACATCAGGTGGAATAAAGTCAACATGATTTATGCCATTAAAAATCTGGCTTAAAATGCATGCAGAAATATGGGTGATGATTGGATTTATTCAACTAAAGCAGCTAAAACTTTATTGTTATTATGAATAAGGTTTTATACATCTTTAGTTTTTGTCTGTCAGGAGGGATAAGGAGCAGAAGCATTTTAACAGGAAAAGCAGCAGAATTCCTGAGCATTTGGATTTAGATAACTTTGAAACAACTCCGAGAAGGAATCATTTTGTAGCCTGCAAATCCAAAATTATTATTGTGAGAATTCCAGTTTGTGCTGCAGTGGAGCTTCTGTGCAATCAAGGGACAGCTTCCCCCATTTCACCTCGGAGTCATTTGTGTGCTGCCATCCAGCTCCGGGGCTACCCCAGAATCCCAGACTGGTTTGGGCTGGGAGTGACCTCAAATCCCACTGAGAGCCACCCCAGCCATGGGCAGGGACAGCTCCCACTGCCCCAGGCTGCTCCAAACCCATCCAGCCTGGCCTTGGGCACTGCCAGGGATCCAGGGACAGCCCCAGCTGCTCTGGGAATTCTATCCCAGGGCCTGCCCACCCTGCCAGGGAACAATTCCTGCCCCAGATCCCATCCAGCCCTGCCCTCTGAGAGCCATTCCCTGTGTCCTGTCAGCACATGCTCCAAAACAAACAGATCGGTGTGAACTGGAAACCAGCGATGCCACACTGGAGTGGGGTGTCCCCCCAGGTGCTCCCTGGAGAGCCCAACAAGCTCCTGGAAAAAGGAAACAATTCCTGCCCTGTCTGCTCTCCTCCCTCCTTCCCAAGCCAGCACAGAGCCAGACGTGCAGGACACTCCAGAGCACAGCCACGCTGTCAGAACTTTCCCTCTGCTGCTAAATCACATTTGATTTTGTCGTTTACATCAACAGATCAGCTCTAAAAATACCGTGTGTGGCGAGGGCGTTGTTTACCTCTCAGCAGCAGCTGCCAGGATCCATTAGTTCTCAGTTACAAAACTCAGATGTCTTTGAAAAAGCCACAGAAACAAAAAAGCCTCCTCTGTAAAGCCCTGGATTTCTGTTTCAGCTCCATTTCTCACGACTGCTGAGTGCTGCAGTTACAGGTTAAATGATTGCTACGGGCTGGCTTTCACTGAAAAGTGAAAATTTGCATTCTCCCTGGTCACTTCTCCAAAAATCTGGTCTCTGATTCCTGACCTGCACTTCAGAGCTGTACAGAACGAGCTGGGGTGCGTGTATGGAAATGGAGCTTTATGTATAAAAATGGAGATATATTTATAAAAATACTCCTGCACCACGAGTCTGGATTTTGAGAACTCCACAGAAGTTCCACATTCCAAGTGTTGCTGCTGCCGAGGGAGGGGAAGTGCTGATGGATTGATCCCCTGGTGTTTGAGGGTTGACTTCTGCCTCTGAAAGCACAGGAATGCCCAGGGCACCAAAGCACCAAGCGGAACCCCTGCTTCCTCACCCATCATGGGGAGGAGGAAACGCTTCCTCATCTCAGGGATCTCCTCTCAAGGCTGGTGAAACCCTCGGGGGTGACAGGACAAGGAGAAAAATCCTTCTCCAGCCAGAAAGAGCCTTTCACATAACCTCAGCATTTCCCCAACCAGCTTCAGCCCATCCTGCTCAAAGACATCAAGTACAAATCTTCCAAAAATCCTGTTACTCCTTGATAGAACAGCCCAGCCTTTCGGGACAGGATCCCAGCCCCCGGGTGTGCCCTGGTCCCACACGGCAAAGATGTGGATTCTGCCTGCCCCACTCCTACATCACAACGAGGGGTTCTTAAGGAAGGAATAATAAAAGAATGGAAAGCAATGAAAGGATCTTTAAACCCCAGAGTGGCCGAGGCCGGGAGGCTGCTGTAAATCCAACCCAGCGGGCTCTCAGAGTCACGGCTCGTGTGTTTCCTCATAAAACACTGAAGGAAGTTTTGCTGCAAGGCGGGAGCAAATAAACCCCCACACATCCCATCTGACAGCTCCCAGAGCCGCTCCTCACACCCCGCTTTTCTCTCTGCACGAGAATCTCCTCCTTCTCCTCCTCCTGCCCCGGCCCCGCAGCCCGGTCCCGCAGCCCAGCCCCGCAGCCCGGCTCCCACAGCCCGGCTCCCACAGCCCGGCTCCCAC